TACCACTGCTTCCTCTCATAGATTCTAGTATAAAGCTGATGTGGTTACCAATGAATACTCCATTGTCAGCACATTTTCAAATGCTCACAGGCCTGCAATAGGCTTCCCACCCATTTCCATTTCCACTGTTTCTTCAGATAACCCATTTCCAATTTTACATTTTAGCCCTCTACATAATAATCACCAAGAAAATGTAATCATTTACAAAGACGACTAATCTCTCCAGAGCTCTCATGTATTTCCCTGGGCTTCCTATTTTGCTATGTTCCCAAAACTGTCTTCTTTTTCCAGATAAAACTATTGACGATTACAAACACGGTTTTGCAAAACAGGAAAACATGGGTTTATGTTTAAAATTAGCATTAATCAGCCAGGCTCTTCTTCCATCTTTTCCTTGATACTTCTAATTTGCTTATATATTTTCAATAACTTGCTGTATTGTTTATTAAATAGAGACTTCCCTTCTTCCAAAACAATTATTACTGCCAGCAGCCTGATTTTTAGATAGGACCACAGAAACACCCTTTTCTAAATAGATTCTAAAAAATAGTAAATTACGTATCAATACATTTTCTTCTATTTTATTTCAGCTTTACTCCTTAGAAGTGCTCCAAATCTTTTATCAGTTTATGCTTAAAGCTAATTTGACAGAGATTGCCTAACTCACATTTTCCTTGGTCTTACAAGATGCATCACAGAAGGCTTCAAATAGCTTCTCTTAGCAAGTGATGCTGAGGTTTGTGCTTGTGAATATCACAAAAGCAATCTAATTATGATTTTTCCTAAGATGTAGGACATAACAATTTTATTTCATATCTGCCTACATTCCTTGAAACTCTTGGTTTAAGCACGGTCCATTTCAGAGATACAGAGAATAGCCTAAATGGCAGTGAAAAGGCAAAGAATAAAGTGCTGAAGATAGGTGCAGAGAGTGAAAGAAATGTGTATCAGGCCGACATAAAACTGGTTCCAAGTAATGGGAAAGAAGGGCATTGAGCCTGACTTGTCTTGACAGAGTTCAGGAATGAAAGCCTGACCCAAACGATAAACCAGTGTAAAAGAAGAAGAAAAAAAAAACAAAAACAAAAAAAACAAACAACACAAAAAACCCCACATTGTTAAGTCTTGACTAAGTCAATCGCAGTGACATTCAGCAACACTGAAAAGTGACAAAGTCTCCATTAATGTATAGTTAACTGCTTGCATAAAACACAGACAGGCCCTCAAAACCAAGGGTGCAAGCTGATTAAATGTTTAAAAGAACTTCCATGCAATATTATAAAATTATTCAAACCCAAACAACATACAGAAGAAAACAAAACATATGCCTCATTTTTAGCCCATGACAGAATACACTGGAGTCTATCAATGGAAAGATCTTCTGGGTGGTCTTTTGTAGTCTAGTTTAGAGTTCAAGCATACTCACTGCTAAATTGCATAGAGAAAAATACACACACAAAGTGCAGATCCTTAGCCTTTACTTCTGGAGTGCCAAAAACTTGAAACTACCTCTCAGTGGCAATCAAACACTTCCCCGGTTTGGCAAAGTACTGAACTGGAATATGTGACAAATTCAGTACTAACACGCTGTAGAATTTCTGGATCAGCAAAACAGTCTGGAGTGGACTCTAAGTTAGAGTGGTAAGAATTAAAAAGATACTCCAAAATGTTTGTTGAGGGTCTGTTCATATCTTGTTAGTTCTTCAAATCAGAGAAGATAGCTTAGAGGTAACTTTGTCTTACTCTCTCTTACCAACATACTACCACTGACCATTCCAGCTAGTTGTATGCACATGTATTGCATCTGTAAGTAAAGCAAACTCCCAAGACTGTATTACTGATGATCTCACTAAGAGATTTTAAAAAAACAACCCAAACACAAAAGTGTTAAACTGCCTTTTTAAACAACAACAAGCTTCCATAGGTCAAGATCAAATTTTGAAATAGTCAAGCTAAAGTCCGTAACATCATGTTTTTCATTTGCCTTCTCCTTACTAGACAGAATCATGTGAAAGAAACTAAAGAAAACTTCTCATCTTTTATTTTACAGAAAGATTAAAAAACCCAAATGGGCGAATTGGGTATCTCGTAAGAGATGCTTTAAGCAAGAAAAAAAAAAGATCATCATTTCCCAGTCCAAATGCAGAGACAGGATTTTCTACTTAAAGCACCTAAGTAGTTTTCAAGACAATACTGAGAAAACAATAATTTTCAAAACAGCAAAGTACTTCTAAAGCAGTTAGATTTTTCTGACATTGAAGGGTACTTACCAATCTAGGAATCAAGATAATAAAATCTGCATTTCGTATTATAAATAAAAACACTCTGCTTGATATTAAAAAAATACTCAGTTGAATGAGTAGAAAAAAAAACTTTTTTAAAGTGTCAAATATACTTTAATACATCTAAGTTAAACTACTAAAATATACACAGACCTCAGTGTGTAATTCTGACTCTTACTGTGAGCACAGAAGAGACTGCCTGCCATATAGCAGGCCCTGGGTCAATGTCAGCACTCCTGAGACAACGAGCAGTTAACTGCAGCATAAAATTCATAAGCCTTTGACCCTGATAAAGCCTTCAGGGTTAAATATTTAAGCAGAATTGTTTATGGTATTTAATGACACACCAGTGCCTTTTTCTCCACAAATGTCTGGGGATTTTTTTTTCCCCAGCAGTGCTAGCACTGATCCATTTGAGTTGTTTTGCAGAACAAGTGCTAAGAAAACATACAAAAAACCACAGACACTGAAAGCTGCCCCATTATGATTCTGGAAAGTACAATGTTACAAGGACAAAATATAAAAGAAAAAAAGATTCTTAAATCAAGGTGCTAAAATCACACCTAGCTTTCTAAATACATGGTCTTTTTCTCTGAGCCATATATGGCTCAGAAAATGCTGAGCTTCCAAAAAGTCCCATTTTTGTCTGCTTCAGACTCACTTCAGAATGTCCTTTTGAATACTTTGGCCCAATGGTTAATGTGACTTTCTGGTTCTAAGATGACAGTCACAAATACGTGAATAACTACATCTGTATATAAACATTCATCTTATGACTATAAAATAAACCAGAAAATTTATAGAATAGCTTTGTACATACCAATACACCATTTTCATATGTCCAAGGACTTGGAATAGATTCAAGTTTACTGACATAAACTATAAATCTGTCTGGAAACACACGTAGCTCTACACAAAAATAATTGAAAGGAAGATTACAAAAATTATAGCCATATTCAAAACCACACATAATGACAACATATATACGTTATTTTAGTAAACAGAATAATTTATTTTTTAAATTACACACTAACTCACTTCACGCACTCCACTAGTTTCTTACCTACTCTCTTCAACATCCCATCCCTCCTTTTGTTTTGCTTTATAAAACCACTAAAAAAACCCCTAATCAGTAAGTCAGAGTAAATTTAGTTCCCAAGAGGACAGCCATGGCTGAAAATTTGTCCACCTGCACCCCTGGACAAATATACCAGACAGAACCAACAGACAAAACACTTAACGATGATTTCTTTTGTGCTATTTCAATGCTAGTCTTTTCATCACAAAAGCTGTAAATTATGTTTGTAATACAGCACAACATATTCAACCAGGACTTGTCATAAAAACTCAGCATAAGACTAAGTGGTTCAAACTCGTGACTACAGTGATTTTTGAAGTCATTAAACAAACTGGTTAACTACTACCGACTTAGATATTTCACTCAAGATCACATGGTTTGTTATGAACACAACAAAGTTTCTATTTACAAAGGATTAAAAATTGAAGGGTCCTCAGATTAGAATAGACCAGACAAAGCTTTATTCAGTACCTAGCAATGCTATGAAAAGAGTATAGTTAGCTATTTTGTTATTTTACATATCAGATTATTTCCAGATTACTATCTTCATATTTTCAGCTCAGATTTTTTTTTTGCTGGTTTTTGTTTTGTTTTGGTTCTATAAAAAGAGAGTTCAGTTTGTTTTTTATAAGAAGAGAGTTACTAACTTTTAAGGTTTGTTACACGTCAAAAACAAGCTGTAACACCTTATTTTCTGGGACAAGAAACATGAGGACCTTTACCAAAAAAAATCTGAGGTCAACATGAGGTTGAATATCTTCTCACAACAAATGGAGTATAGGCATGATGTGCACAATTTGCCAGTGACAACCAGGTTCTACCTGCAGGTGACCGGCTCTACAAGGGACTGCTTCTTCACTAACAGCGTATTTCTATTAGTATCTGACAAACCCCTCTGTGTGCGTACCAGCAGCAACTTTTCTAGATCATTACAATGAAAGATGGGGATGCTGAAACAGATTACCTTGCATTTGCCATTGATTGAAAAAGCATACACAGAAACCTCAGATGCATCTGTACTGGCACAACAGCTCGTGAAGCTACTGTAACTTGATAATGAATATAAGCCTTTCGTAATCCTTTCAGAAATATCAACTCTGTTAGCTAAACTGTGTCCAAGGAAGTATTATTCATGCTGTGCCTTATGTCCAGACTATTGTTCCTCTGCTTGTATGCTCAAGACCTGAAAAGCCACCCGCAAAGGTCTAGTACAATGGCTTTCAAACCGCAAACAGTCTACAGACATCTTCCAAATGGGCTACAAAAGAAAAGCTGGAAAACTGTTGCAAGGACTGAATTTGTCATGCAGGATTCCAATAATAGCCTCTTAGGTAAGTTTACTTTAGATATTGAGTGAGCATCACTGATTAACATATGCAAGATTCTTCTTCTGTTGGGCTCAATGTCAGTTTTTTGTTTGTGAAGTACGAGGTACATCTTACAGAAAGGAAATGCTGGTGCCAAATTATTTATTTTTTTAAGATATGTGCTTATTTTGCCATTTATTGGGAGCGAAACCCAGTATAAAGAAGTTCCTCTCTTGACAGGAACTTCATGTGGAAGAAAAATCTTGACT